GGCACTAAGCTCTAATTTACCTCACATTAAAGAAACACTATACTCCCCAGAACCATTTCAGCTTAATGTAGTGGTTCTGGTGTCTATAGCCTGTCCCTGCAGGCCTTTTAATGTAAACACGGAGGCACTGCAGCACTGGCGTTAGTTAACATGGCAAATCATATGGCTGGGGCATTGTGATGTCACATGGGGGGCGGCAAACTTTACTTTTGCCTAGGGCGGCAAAAATCCTTGTACTGGCCCTGGCTGGAGGGGGCTGTGTGAGCTGTGGCCGCACAGTGTCCCATGGTAGTTAGGGTGCCAGTACAGCTCACTCAAGCAAACAGCTGATAAACTGGCCGCACGGAGGAAATGTGTATGTGTGACTGTCTGCCTGTGACTGTGTGTGACTGTCTGCCTGTGACTGTGTGTGACTGTCTGCCTGTAACTGAGTGTGTGACTGTCTGTCTGTAACTGAGTGTGTGACTGTGTCTGTAACTGAGTGTGTGACTGTCTGTCTGTAAATGTGTGTGTGGGGCTGCAGGGATTTTGTAGAAGGGGGTGGGGGTTTTGTATTGGGACAGGAGTCTTTTATAAGGGGGGATAAGCAGGGGATTTGTGGAAGGGGGTTGCGGGGGTTTTGTAGATGGGGCAGTACAGGATTTGTAGAAGGGGCAGGACAGAGGTTTTGTAGGAGGGGCAGGGCAGGGCAAGGGTTTTGTAGGAGGGGCTGACAGCGGTTTTGCAAAGTTTACAAATTGTAAAAATAAAAGAAATAAAACCTTTAACATTTTTACAGGTTTTTTTTTTTTTTGGGGAGGGGGGTGGGGGGATGCCAAGCACAGGATCCGCCCCGGGTGCCAAATGCACTAGGTACGCCCCTGTCTGTGTGTAAGGGAAGCATGTTGTGTTTCTGTGTGTATAGGGATGCATTGTGTGTGTGTGTGTGTGTGTGTACGTAGTGTGAAAGAGCTCCCTGTCCTGCCCCCTGTCCTATAGAGCTCTCCCTTCCATCCCTTAGAGATCTCCCCTGGTCTCTCCTCTCCCCCCAACCTCCCTTAGTGGTCTCCTTTTCTCCCCGACTTTCAATTAGTGGTCTCTCGACTCCCCCTTAGTGGTCTCTGCTCTCCTCTGCCCCCCCTTTCCATTAGTGGTCTCTCCTCTCCCCCCACCCTCCCCTAGTGGTCTATCTTCCACCCCCTCCCTTAACGGTCTCTCCTCACCCCCCTCCCCTAGTGGTCTCTCCAGCACCCCCTCCCTCCCTCCGCTCAGGCGGCTGCAGCATTTAAAGGGCCGGCGATGCCTAGTTCGCCTTATAGGAAGCGCCGGCCCTGGTCATGTAATTTGGCGATATATACAAAAAACATAGGGATGTGTACATACAAATATATACACACAACTGAGTGTGCAGGTGAGAGGATTATAGCCCAGATGAGTAAAAAAAGTCTGTTACATATTGAGAAATGTTCTTTATTTACAACTCTGTTTTCCTATCTGTAACCTCATTAAATGCTATCTAGGCATACTTAAACAAGAAATACATTTAAACATTACTTTCCAGTACACCCAAAATACTCGGATTCTGGGTGGGGGGTTCTGGTGGTAGTGAAGGGGTTAATAAACAGATTAAAGAGACGACACTGCATTTACTATCTGTGTCCAACATTTCCATCAGCAAGAACTCTCTGTACTTTATCTTTAGGCCAACGTCCTATCCAAGAAAAACATCTTCATACAAACCAATTGCTTTTACTTTACTCAGTAATCATGTACGAGGAAACGTAACCAAACTCCTTGGCAGAACTCCCATCCACAACAACACCCTCACGTTACCAGTGTTCATTCCATCCAAGGAGCACAACAGTGATACACTGAATGTTTAACACAAAATATGGGATGGCATTGACCGACTCTTTGCACCATAACCCCAACAGTGAGATGCAGTGGTTATAGTGCATAATATGCATTTTACCATGATGACACTGTTGTACACAACAAATTGCTGACTATTTTCCCTTAATAACCCTCTAATTAATTGCTCAACGTGGATGTTAAGCCCTTAGTTCTGTAATTTCAAGACTGAGAATTGTATCCCTTTTTAAACACGTGCACCAAATCTTCTTTTTGTAAATCCTTTCATAACATTTCTGAATGGAAATAATCCTGGAAGGTTAAATAGAGTGGTTTTGTTATCTCAATACTAAGCTACAAAAGGTCCACTTTACGGCACAGCTGCTTTTTGGAACAATGCACAGCAGACGATAAACATAGTCCTCTGCGGTATGTCTACATTTATGTTTTAAACAAAGGGAATTTTTAACATAACTAAGTCATTTAATAAATACAATATGTATTAATATATAGATAAATAGGTTTGAATTCACCTGGCCTCTTCTTCCTGATTGGCTAATCATTTTGTATACTTTGGAATTTTGACAACCTACTCCTGACGTCATCTACCTGATGACCCATGATATTCTACATGTAGTTCCATCATTTGCTTGATGCATCTACAGCTTTAATTCCCCTGCACTGTCAGAACTCTAATTCACCCAACTTTGCTGAATGGATAAGTATGGATACCAGAAGAGGCTACAATGTCCCTAGGGCAGAACCCAGCAGTATGACCTTTAATGGTTTTAATGGGATGTTTTTTGGACGCTGGACCTTCCCAAAGATCTCCATCCAATCTTGCACTGGTTGGAGAAAACACACTGACCTAACCCCTGTCCCTTCTTCATCTGCTCTTCTGCCTTAATGCTCTTTTGCCCATTGGTCTTGAGATATTACCCCTGTCAGGGGGTTAGTTTCAGGCCAATGATTTAGGTAAAAATGAACATAACTCCCAGAGTTCCAGATGAGAGATGTTAGAGGCTGGGCATGCATGAAATATAATGGTGGGGATTTAACACACGAGTACCTCCCCCACCCCCCCAAAAAAATAATTTGTAAAGCTTATCCAAAAACATTGAATGGAGGCACCCTTCAAATAACATAAAATTATCATTTCAAAGCAAGACATGTTTTAAATATTATTTAAGCAATACCTTGTTGAGCATATCTTGTGATATTGTGTAATTCAGAAAGTGAGAGGTCTCCTTGCCTTCTAAGTATATAAGCAGCTATTAGGTTTATATAAATCATAAAGAAGGAATATAGTTTAAATATTCTTGGCAGATAACAGCACAAACAGGAAGGTTAAAGGAACACTATAGGGTCTGGAACATAAACATGTATTCCTGACCATATAGTGTTAAAACTACTATTTGGATGGCTTGCCACTCCTTAGCCCCCTTAGAAGAGCTTTAAACATACCTTACCGAAACTGGCCCCGTCCCAATCCACCTCCTTGGTGACATCATCATAATTTACAATTTGTAGCCAATCCAATGCTTTTAGGGAAAGGATTGGATCGGCTGAAATTGGGAAGGAGGCAGGATGTGGGGTGGGGCAAAAAGCCGTTTTGGCCAAGCAGCACCTCCTCATAGAGATGTATTGAAGCAATACATCTCTATGAGGAAAATTCAGCGTCCCCATGCAGAGCGTGGAAACGCTGAATGGCAATACTGCCTACTGTGCAGCACTGAGCCAGGAAGCACCTCCAGTGGCCATCTAAGGAGTGACCACTTGGAGGTATCGCTAGGGCCAATGTAAACACAGTGTTTGCATGAAAATGCGTAAAGGCAGTGGTTATACTCACCAGGACAACTACATTAAGCTGTATACTGTACATTAAGCTGTGTATTATACATTAAGCTGTATACAGTACATTAAACTGTATATTATAAATTAATCTGCAGTTGTTCTGATGACTATAGTGTCCCTTTAAATAAGTAATAGGGTGCCGCAAGTTTTTATATCTAAGAAGTAAACCTGATGAAGGGAAGGTCCATATTTCTTTATGTATGTGTAACTATATAAATAATATTATATAATTTCTTAATATAATAAGATAATTTTGACTCAGGTTGCGTTGTTTATCCTTCTGCTCTTTCTCTCTGTATTTTGATTTAAAGATAAACCTTCGCTCTGTGCATTTACTAACTGTGGCCTCGATTTAATTATTTTAGAGAATCTTTTCAAATGATTACAATCGGTAAGGACATCTTTCCAAATAGTTTATCCACTAAACTACCAGGAGACTTTAATTGTGTTTTCTGCAGGCAACTCATTTGAAAAGTTTTTTTTTTCTAACAGATTTTGATCATTTTTTTTAATGCTTATTCAAATGTAATAAATTGAGGCCAATGGCCAAATACCCCAATTTAATATTTTTGGAAACGCTTTTCCAGTGATCACAATTTGTTAGAAAAACTTTCATATTAATCCCAGCCCCACATATGTTCGTAAACGCTCTGAAGTTTGTAGACAGTGTTTATAACAATTCCGTGGATTGTTAGTACAGAATTAACTCATCCCTACATTTATTATATGACGTGATCCTTCAGACATACACATACACCGTGTGTCAGACAGTGTTTGATTTAGACAGTTATCGGGTCTAAATATGTCATTGTGCTGTGCAGGGAGTGAAGACCATAGAGACTAATAGTCAAAATCGAACACTGACTCACCCAACGTGCATGTACATGGCTGAAGGATCCTGTCATATACTAAAGGTAGGGATGGATTTTTCATTTTTTTTTTACATTTACTTAATGTAACAAATAATCTGTTTCAGTTCAAAATGTGATGAAAGGATCGTTATATTAAACAAATAGTGATGAAGAGCCAATTGTCCTTTAAATATAGTCTATTCTCCTGTCTCACACGGCAATGGCATATTGACTAAGCCCCAGCAGATTAAGTTCCAGTTTTATTGACACCTAATTGTGTACCAACATTGAGACGTCAAAATATTTCACGCGTGTTGCTCTACTCAGTCTACTCAGCAATGACGACCTTGTCCGTCTTCGAGTGAGAAAAGAGTTTTAGTGGGATGGGATGAAGAAAAGAAAGAAAAAAAAAATTCTATATGGACATTTAACGGCTATTTTTCATTGTTGTTTATTTTTTCCCAGTTTCCGCTCGGTGGATAAATTCAAGATACTCATTGGTTACTACAACCTGACACAGCCAACCTCTAACAGTGTCGTCGTACTAGTGAAATCTTATACCATTCATCCTTCATACTCTTCAGATACCAACTTTGGGGACATAGCGGTGGTGGAACTGAAGCATCCAGTGAACTTCACAAACTACATCCAGCCAATATGTGTTCCTTCTTCCAATGAAACTTTCCCTGGGGGGAAAATGTGCTGGGTCACTGGCTGGGGTGATATCCAGTCTGGTGGTGAGTACCTACAGCCAACAAAGAAATAGGCCTTAATTTAATAGACTTTCCAAAGGAGTCAATTATGTTAAAAAAACTTTCAAATTAATTCATCTACAAAAATCCTCATAGACTTTAATGGTGATTTCTGTAAATAAACCATTTGGAAGTCTTTCTAAAAGTATTGAATCATTTGAAATATTATTAAATTGAGGTCATAGTCAGTACTAGCTTCACATTTTACAACTGAAGTTAAAGGAGGTTTTAATCACACAGAATAAACTACATGTTTGCTTTGAAATAGCTTTATCCCATCTCTGGTCTAATAGGTAAAGTTAAAATAAATGTGGTTTTAGTTTGACCGAAAATCTAGGAGTCTATAACACTAGACAAAATTGATCAGATCTGAAAGATAAACATAGAAAAATGACCTTGATTTAAAATTTTTGAATACGATATTAGAAAAAGTATATCCTTTATAAAATATATATATATATATATCAATATATAAAAAAATAGCAACATATTACACCATTCTGATAAGTTTCATTATATTAAATCATTTTGAAAGTTTATCCAAAAACTTAAAGTTATTTCAAAAACATATCCAAAAATATTAATTTGATGTCGAAGTTTGAAGAATGCCCCCAAAAAGTTATCTATGAGCAGGGCCAGTGCAAGGATTCTTGACGCCCTAGGCAAAAATCTATTTTGCCTCCCCCTCTTGAATGCAACTACACTCTCTCTGAAGTTTATTCTAAACTATGAATTCAGTGAATTGGAAACCGAATTGCATAGTTTAAGCAAAAACAGCTGAACTGTGACTGCAGAGGAGTCGGAGAATCCTTCTAAATGGTATAAATTTTGCCATTTGGTTTTTAATTAGGTCTGATCAGCTGTCCCTTTCCTCCATTGTGCCCAATCTCTCCCATTAGTGTTTATCCCCAGCTTTCTCCTTTGTGTCTGTTTCCCAAAGCTCGCAGTCTCTATGTTCACGATTTCTCTGCTCACTCTATGCAACAGATTCTCTCCAGCCTGTTTCTCTTTATTCCAATAGGGTTATTCAATAAAAGTGAGAACTGTTGGGAATTCAAAGTGAACTTCTAATTTATGGTCAAAACACCCGTTAACATTCTCCAGATTTGGCTACTCTGCCCTTACACTTACAATTCTCACTTTAGTGAATAATCCGGTAATTATCTTCTGTCAATTTCTCTTCTTTTCTTTTCCCCTTCCATTCATTAAACAGTGAGTTGAAATATAACTTGCAACATTTAATCCAAGACAGAAGAGTTGTATAAAGTCATCTCAACTTTTTCAAATCACTGTGTAGTGAATAGACTCCTAGATGTCTAAGGGAAAGCAGAGAGACCAGTGATAAATTTAGGGAAAGGGAACAGACCGGGAAGGCAATTAGGAAAGGGATAGAGAGATTGTTGAGGTTTTTAGGAAACCGATACAGACTAAGAGACATTTTAGGGGAGACACAGTGAGCAGACATTTAGGGGAAAAAAAGAAACTGTCCAATATGAACACACACATTCAGTACACACACACTGCCAATACATACATACACACACACACACTGTAACAAGTGCTTACCTTTCCCCGCCGGTCCCGCGCAGCGCCGGGTCCTCCTCCGATCCTTCCGGGGGGCGGCTCAGCGATTCTGACGCCGGCCGCTCGGAATACGCCCACCTTTATGACGCGGCGCATGCGCGCCGACGTCACATCGAAAAAGGCGCCAAAATTCAAACGTGGCCATGCTCCCGGTCTTTTTGGGGGCGTGGCTACGGAATTAAAGCCAAAGAACCCACACTATAAAAGGGCAAGCATGACACTTGTCAGATGCCCTAGTGTGGTTCTTGTTTAAGTCCCCCGGTGCTATCTTTTTTCTTATTGTCCTTCCTGGTATTGACCCTTGGCTTACTCTCTCTGACTATTCTGTTTTCTGGCTTCCCGTCACTTGGCTTGGATTATCGTGTGCCCGTCTTCCGTATTCCCTTGACCTCTGGCTATTTCTCTTGACTATTCTCAGACGCTAGTCCGGCCATTCTAAGGTCCGGTAACCGTCTTTCTGTAGGTTTCACGCTGTGTGAAGGGGTCATTGTTGTGACTTTGGTCACTGTCGTGACATTACACTAGGGCCATGGACCCTGCAGGTGTTAACCCTCTCGGACCGGCACCTGATGACCGGTTTGAAGAACTGGACCATCGTATGGACCAGTTCGCTATTGCGGTACAAACCTTGCTTGCTCGTACTGCCCATCTCCAACCGGAGGAGCAAACCCCAGTACTCAGACCTCAGGAACAACCCATGGAAATGGGTACTCCTAATCATGCTACCTCTCCTCTCCGTTACGGGGGTGATCCTAAAGGCTGCCGAGGTTTTTTGAATCAAGTCAGTATTTATTTTGAGCTCCATCCGAGAGCATACCCTACAGATAGGGCAAAAATAGGTTATATCATTACCTTATTGGTCGATAGGGCATTGACTTGGGCAAATCCTCTGTGGGAGAACGATTACCCGGTAGTGTTTAACTATGTAGAATTTGTCGCAGCTTTCAGGAGGGCTTTTGATCCTCCAGGGAGGAGAACTAACGCTGCCAAAACCTTGCTACGTATGAGACAGGGTTCTCGTTCTCTTGTTGATTACGCTTTAGAATTCCGTACTCATGCGGCCGAGGTTAGATGGAATGAACAAGCATTTATTGACGTATTCATGAACGGGCTTTCAGATAAACTCCTAGATGAAGTCGCCACTAGAGACCTACCCAATGTGCTAGAGGAATTGATCACATATCTTTCCCACATTGATGAGCGTCTTAGACACAGGCAGAATACTAGAGACAGACCTCGACGGGTGCCAGAACGTTTAGCGTTAACCTATCCTTCATCCGAGACAACAACAGTCGCTCCTCCAGAACCAATGCAACTGGGAGTCACGCGTTTGTCTGAGGATGAAAGACAATACCGCCGTAGGGAGGGACTATGCCTGTATTGTGGCCGAAAGGGACATTCTCGTTCAACCTGTCCTAACCGGCCGGAAAACTCCCGCACCTAAGCCCTCATGGAGGACAGGCCTTGGGTGTAATGTGTATGTCCTCCTTTAATGATAAAAAAGACCATAGGCTTCTTCTACCTATTGTTATCGAGTGGGAAAAGAAAAAAGTACCAACCATTGCCTTAATAGACTCTGGGGCGGCCGAAAATTTTATTGATCATAGATTCGGTCAGGAACATACTTTCCCATTTCAGAATAGATCCACACCCTTGGCCGTTGAGGCCATAGATGGTAGACCATTATCTATCCCGTTTATCACACAAGAGACTCTTCCAGTGGTATTGTCCGTAGGTTCCCTGCATAAGGAGGTTATTATCCTACAACAAGTCACTTCTCCCATCTTCCCGGTTATTCTTGGTTTTCCTTGGCTCTCTAAACATAACCCTTCTATAGATTGGGAGAAAAAGGAAATTGTAAAATGGAGTGAGGCCTGCCATAGAAAATGTATTACCCCTATTAAACAAGTAGGTCTACTTAATGTACCTACTATGGAACCTTTAACCACTTTAATACCCAGACAATATTGGGATTTAAAAGCAGTTTTTGAACCAAGAGAGGCAGAAAAATTACCCCCACACCGGTCCTATGACTGTCCGATTGACTTGTTACCCGGCACTATGCCTCCTAGAGGCACAGTTTATCCTCTCTCGGTAACCGAGAATAAGGTACTAGAGGAATATATCACAGAAAACTTAAGAAAGGGGTTTATCGTCAAATCTTCCTCTCCTGCTGGCGCTGGGTTTTTTTTTGTTTCCAAGAAGGAAGGGGACTTAAGGCCCTGTATTGATTATCGGGGTTTAAACAAAATAACTATACGTAACGCCTATCCTATTCCTCTAATCACGGAACTTTTCGATAGATTAAAAGGGGCGACTATCTTTACTAAATTGGATCTCAGGGGGGCATACAATCTAATGAGGATTAAAAAAGGGCACGAATGGAAGACTGCTTTTAACACTCGCTATGGTCACTACGAGTATAGGGTCATGCCATTCGGGTTATGCAATGCCCCAGCAGTCTTTCAAGACTTCATTAATGATGTTTTAAGGGAATTTTTACATATGTTTGTTATTGTCTACTTAGATGACATTCTAATCTATTCCAAGAATATTCAAGACCACCATACTCACGTTAGGTTGGTTCTTTCTAAACTATTAGAAAATGGACTTTATTGTAAATTAGAAAAATGCCAATTTGATATAGACACTGTGCATTTTCTGGGTTATATAATTTCAGGGTCTGGATTTCAAATGGATAAGAAAAAACTAGAAGCTATCCTTAATTGGCCCCTGCCCGTTGGTCTCAAAGCTATCCAACACTTTCTAGGGTTTGCCAATTATTATAGAAAATGTATTAAGGGTTTTTCTTCTATCACTGCACCTATCACTGCCATGACTAAAAAGGGGCGAAATTCTATGGAATGGAATCTCGAGGCCAAAGAAGCTTTTGAGAGACTTAAATTGGCCTTTTCTTCTGCACCAGTATTGAGGCATCCCAATCCCTCTCGTCCATTTATATTAGAGGTGGATGCATCAGAGACTGGTATTGGGGCCGTACTGTCTCAACGTCCATCTGATGATCAACCATTACATCCCTGTGGATTTTTTTCTAAGAAATTAACTGAGACAGAAAAGAGATATGACATTGGGGACAGGGAGTTATTGGCTATTATCTCTGCCCTCAAGGAGTGGCGCCATCTGTTAGAAGGGTCTACCGTTCCCATCACCATCCTTACGGATCACAAAAACCTTTCGTATTTTGGAGAAACTAAAAGAATGTCAGACAGACAGATTAGATGGTCTTTATTTTTAACACGATTCAATTACATAGTAACTTACAGACCAGGATCAAAGAACACTAAGGCTGACGCCTTATCCCGTCAATATGAACACTTATCACCCACAGTAACACACCTCTCTTCCATAATCCCATCCAACCACATAATCGCAACAGTCCG